TGTAGTCCCAGCTACTCGGGAGGCTGAGGCAGGAGGATCACTTGAGCCCAGGAGTTTGAGGTTGCTGTGAGCTAGGCTGACACCACAGCACTCTAGCCCGGGCAACAGAGTGAGACTCTGTCTCAAAAAAGAAAAAAGAAAAGATGTCTTAATAAAAGTTGTTTATCTTTTGTTCTCTATGACCCAAGCATTCATATGTAATAAATTACTCATGTAAATCAAACTGTACTTATTCACCTATTTACATGGTTTTGAGTGAAAGATTCACTAAAAAAAAAAAAAGGTGACCAAAGTCATGACATGCTCAAGGACTTTAGTAAACCGTGCTAGTGCATTAGGACCAGCATCTGGCTGGTTTTCTATCACCTGAACTCTGGTGTTAAGACCCATAGTCTGCCTTGTATTCCTGAACGGAGGGGCAAAAGCTAAAAGTTGACTGTTAAATAATAAATGTTTAAACAAATTTTGAGAAATCATGTAAGGAGGCTTCTAGGAAACAAATATTTCTAATTGTTCCTTAGACAGCAAGGACGTTTTTGCATCCTGGAACAGTGTGCCTTAGTAAGATTCCAGGCAGGCGAGAGTGTGCCTCTCTTGGGCAAAGTGGCATAAGGATTAGTGTGAAGGAAAGCTGAGAAAACAGCACCACGGACGTGCTCCTAGGCAGGTAGTTTTAGGAAGGTGTACACATGGAACTTGAGAATACAGTTCCCCCAAACTAATCATGCCTATGTGTGCCCTGAAAGCCAACAACCTGGTATATCTTCCAACATTTAATACACATTCTTTAATTTTATTCTCTTCCTTATCATTGTTGGGTATGGGGGAAGGTAGATTAATCTACATCCAGGGCCAAAGCATCACAGTTTTTGTGTATCTGGGTGATTAGCATTTTCGCTTCAACTGCATTAAGTTAATGGGTGGTGGTTAAACTCGTTTCCTCCGAGTTACACCTAGAGTTATTTCCTGCTTTGGAAACATTCAAATACGCAATCACACCTGCCCCGCTTTATAAAGACGGCAACCCTGTCAAAGCGAAACCCTCGGCAGGCCAACAGGAGTGCCATGAACCAACCCGAAACAGTCATTTGTCGGCAGATGATAGAAATCTGAATTCAGAGTGAGAAAATTAGTTTAGGAGTGACCGTGTCTAATGGAGGAAATCATCAGCTGTTAGAAAGTCAAAGAGTGTTTATGAAATTTGTACTGGGTCCTCTGTTTTCCTTGTCCAAAGGAAAAAGGATAGATCATTTTTTTATTACCGATTCGAATTGTATTTCTACTACGAAAGGGAGTAGCTTTCAGAATACTTGGGTACCCTGAATAAAGAAAAAAGTCTGTATTGGTAGTTCTAATTTTTATATGCCAATCCAATTCTGACTGGAAGACATTTGGGTCAGTTTTGCTAAAAAACAGAAGTTCCCGTATTTAATGAGGAAAAAGCATAATAGTGGCTTATCTTAGAATGTAAAGCTTTTAGAATCACCCTGTAATTCATGGCTTATCCCCGAGAATTCAAAGCTTTATAAATTATAAACCTTTTCCAGGACATGGTACATACTGTCTTATGTCAGATAGGACGAGGCTAAGCCCAGGGCATAAATGAATTCTTCATTCATCCCCGAGACCCAGGATTCTCTTATTTCTCTCTAGCTCACACTGTACACCCCAGTCAAGATGAGGATTCCTTCCCACATCTCTTTTTCCCCCTTCTGTCCCTTCTTCCCATGATTAAATCAATCAATCGAACTTACATCATAGCTGGTAATAAATTTTAAAATTCACACTAAATTATTAACTAATGGACTTGCTCCTATAAAGAATATTTATGTTCAGTTATAACAAAATGAACCTCTCCGATTGGTAGGATAAACCTACCTCATCACCATTCTTATTCTAACTTTTGGAAGATCTGGACCGGACTCCATGGGGTGTCCTGCCACCATGGGACAGTGACGAAGGAAAGGAAGGAGCATTTCCTATCCACGAGCAAGTGGAAGGACAGGCTATTGAGGGAGCAGTGTTGTGTTTGAAGCCCTGAAACTTCCTTTCCTGTGTCTTTCCTCCTGTACTTTCTTGTTCTTTCTCCCATATCTTCAACATTTGTGAAGTCTCGATTTCCACACCCACAAAATAGGAACAATCGTAAGGTTGCTATAACGGACTGTGGCGTTGTTATGAGGGTTAAATAAGAAAATTCACATAAATTACACCTAGACCAATAACCAGAAGATATTAGGTGTACCAAAATACCGATTTAGCTACATTTCTGTTAGTGGGTGAGTAAACATTTTCATAAGGCTAATAATTCTAATACGGGATTTTATGCTTGAACGTTAATTTCGGCAAAAAGATGATGCAGTGATCTTAGACTGTTTCTGCCCAGTTCCTTCTCTATTCTATTCCAACTTGTCTCTGAATATGCCCAGGTGATAGGAGGTGCTTAGGAAAAACACAAATGAACGAAAAGGAAGGGTTCACAGGCGAGGAACAATTGAACCCATACGATTACACTAAATTACACTAAAAATTACACTAAATCCCACTTTATAGCAATCATGGTAGAACGAAAGTTCTATTTGATCAAACAATAAATATTATTTTAAGAAGAATATACTCCAGTGCAGTCTCATGGCAATAGTAAGGTATTTCTATTTCCATTCCCTGTTTTCAAATTTAAAAGCCAAATGTCTTCCGAGCATGTCTTTGAACAAAAGGTAAAAAGAGGCAAAAGTAAATAAAGGCCACATCGAATCTTAATCAAGATGTGTTTCTCCAAATATAATAGCAAAAAAAAAAAAATCATTTAAAATAAGAAAGTATGATGATTACCAGGGAAATCCCGATCACTGCAAACCCAGTTTTCACGTTGGAAATACGACTAAAATAATATCTGAAATGCTTTGAAAATACCACAGTACAAAGTGGTTTTCATGGGTGTTTATGCTTTTGAAAGAAAAAAAGTGGCTAAAGTATCATTTTATTCTTTGTGTAGAGGACAGTTTATTCTGTCTATTGAAAAAATAAATGAGCGATAATCTCCAAGAAATCATCTTGACCAGCATTAATGACTAGTTTGGTAGTTAACAGCCCAAGGCATAGCCAGAGGCCCTCAAGGCTCTTGGGGGAAGAAGAGCTCAGGGGATTGTGGTTTACCAGTAATTAACTATAGGTAGGAATCAAAACTTCCTAAGAAAAGAGATAAAAGTAACTTTGGACAATTCCATGTCTGTGCTTATCTTTTCATACACTGCCCCTCCCGTACCTTTTTAACTAAATAAAAAAAGATGGTGGTGTTGTTTTGCAAACCAGGTTGGATTGGAAATAATTCATGCAATGAAACGGGAAGACTCGGGGGACCAATTAATGCCTTTTCAAGCTTGGACTATATAAGAACCACTTAAAAAAAAAAAAACTCAGTCTAACACATTAGTTGATTGTTAGTGAATTGAAACTCAATCATGAGATCATAAGGATTTTTTGAAGCTTTTTTTTTTTATTTTTAATCCTATCTCAATAAAAGTAAATACATAAGGATTATAAATAAACCAAATCTGAAGTAATATAGATTGGGGGAACCTCAAGAGGGTCAGGAGATAATGAAGATTATACCTCAATATTGGGATTATGATGTTAGTTCTTTATTTCAATAAAAGTGGATAGAGATCTTTCATATCAGGGACAGGGCTTAGCTGTAAGGACAAAGTAATCTTCTGGGAATTATGCATACAGGCTTGACATCATTTTTATTGGATGGCTGATGAACTGGAAAACTCCAGGATAGCCAGGCTTTTAATTTGTAATCTTAATTTTCATATAAATCGGTACATTGCAGGGGGAGGGCGTGGGGGATGTGGGGACGTCGGAGCTTGCTAGCCCAGCCCTGGAGCACGGGCAACAGTACTAACTCATGCGGTATCCGATTCTGTCTTTTCCTCTATCCATCTGTCTTCCATCTTTGCATCTATCATTTAAAGAAATTTACAGCCTGTAAATACTAGCGAAGCTAACGTTAGTGCAATCTTCCCTCTACCTCCTCTCGGAATGATCTATAGTAATCTACTTATCATAGACGTGCACACTATAATACATAATAATTTAGTCTTCAGCTGGGAAAATGACTGCAATTGTTTTGCAAGCATACATTAATGAGTTCTTTTCTTCTTTTTTAAAAAAAATTGTTTTAGAGGATATAGAACAGGAGAGAGCATTAGTTTCCCTTCATAAAATAATTATCTTGATGTTTTCCATATATAATTTCATATCCATGGGGTTACATGGGGGCAAAGTTATCAAACTAGAACATAGTGGTGATTTATTTGGACATGTGGAAACTCAGCCCATATATTTCCGACATAGAATGAGGATGCCCTTTACGTTGTAAAACAAAAAGGCTATTGAGCAGAATTTTTAGAAATATGGCAAAGTAGAATTTCTTTGTAGATTGTTCTATCCTCTGACATTATAAGTAACACTGAATCTTTCTGCAAAATTATTTTTATGAGAGGATATTTGAGTTGAATTAGTCATAGAAAACAAGCAATATAACCCTTTTTATTGTTGCTGATATTATTGTTTTGAGGTTTCTTATGTCTCCCGGTTCTAGCAGAGATCAAATCTGTATTACCTTTTTTCTCATTGTGTTTTAAGTTTGTGGGTGATTTCTTACTAAAGAAGAGGGAAAGTCATAGTCCTTACTCCATTTCCAAACCAGAAACCACACATAGCCTTTTGAGCTTCTGATAACCGTATGTGTAAAGAGCACATAATGTTCTTGTTGTACCACATACAAGAAAACATCCCTGGCCGAAGCTGAAAAGCCACAACCTGTCCTACGTAAGAACATTTTCCAAGTTCTGAGTAGGTCTGGATGGCTCTGGTTTCAGATTTTCCCCACGGTTTACAGGTGTTTTTGCTTTTCAAAGACAAATCATCCGTTGCCACTATTGCTTTCTTTGTTTGTGTTCTGACCTCTTCCTAGATGCACGGTCTTCTGAAATGTCAAGACACTACCTTCGAAGCAGAAAAGAGATTCTCCTCATCGTATCTTATCTTCTTATCCCAAGCTCCCAATTTGCCAGTGAAGGAACATGAAAGTTGATTCAGATAAATACGATCTATATAACCCCAGTTGGGAGCACACGCGTCTCTTAAACAGTTCTGTCAACTTGAATTTATCTGCATAGAAGGCTTATAAAGCATCGTTTACATAAATAACATGCGGGTTTGAGCGGGACAAATCTCAAATCTCAGGGATGAGTGACTGCCCCAGAGTAGACCTATTAAATCAATCAGCTGGGCTCATACAATCAGAAAAGCTTTGACGACGGCCATACAAAACTTGATCACGACATAATCTTCCCCTGCTTCTCGATGAGGCAACAAAATACACCGTGTTCATTGAACAGCTGCTTTCGTAAGGGGGGATGATAATGAAAACGTCTCCCAGAATCTTCAGCACTTGCACACGGAAACAAGATCTCCACTGAGAAAATTAAAACGCCAACAAGATTTATACTTACCTATGTAGATGCCCTATAGTATTAAACATGTCCCGTTACTTTTAAGTGGGAGAAAGAGAGACAATGTCATTTTTTAATGTACTGTTATTGAAAAATTCAAGTCACAGGCATGGTTCCTGTTACGGCTCCTGAAATTCATGTGTTGAAGTTCTAACCCCTCGTATCTCAGGATGGGACTATTTGGACACAGGGCCTATAATGAGGTAATTAAGTTAAAACGAGGTCCATAGCATAAGCCCAAATCTGCTATGATGAGTGTCCCTGTGAGAAGAAGTGGTCAGGACACAGGTGACACAGAGAAGGAAGAGCGTGTGAAGATACAGGCGGAAGGCGATTCTGTCTGCAAGCCAAGGAGAGAGGCCTCAGAAAACCAACTCCGCCTACGCCTTGGTCTCAGACTCCGGGTATCCAAAACCATGAGCCGATATATTTCCGTTGTTGCAGCCACACCATCTGTGGTACTTTGTTATCACAGCCCTGGCGAACTACTACAATACTGCCCCCTTTCTTGTTTTAAGATAAATCAGGAAAGGAATACAGAAAGTCACCTCTACTTTGCTCAGACAAAATTCTAACACTGGGCATAAACATTCAACTTTTCCGAGATTCCATACAGAAATCGATGTTCCCTTAATTGCACAAACTTTGGCTGTGGATATTCTCCTGTTACATCTTCTCTGTTAAGAAGAGCGAAATGTCACATAGCACGATGTCATGGATATGAAACACACGTGAATATACACACCTATATACGTACCAGGGCTGTCCGGAGAGTATCCAGCCATATTATATTTGTTATATTAAAAAGGGCTGGATGCTTTCCGGACAGCCCTTGAATACTACAAATAAATACACTAAATATACATTAAAGATGTATATTATACATTATATACACATATATAATCTCAGACAATGCAAGGACACAATGCAAACGAGACTCTGTTATGAAGCATTTGAGCGTTTTTGGAGAAAACATACTTAAAATCGGTCAGGTTAGCGTCAGTCAGCACCTGCATACCCCTCCTCACTTTTTGCCTACCACCATTTTCATTGTTTTGTAGGTTTTTACATTTTTGCATTCACAGCCCAACATGAACAAGAAGATGTCAGTCACATTTTCTTTGAATACTTGTATAGGAGTATTAACAATACACCTCTCACAGAATAGGAGATCAATACATTTGAAGGGATGGACAGAAGAGAAGATTTAGACCTTTAGAAGAAAAGAAGGATCTAGGTCCTTCGCGAAAAATGCATAATTAAAGTTATCAAAAGCAGAAATCTGTAATATGCCTTCAAGACATTCTACTCTATGGTATCAATCTATATTAAAAGTGCATGTTTCGAAGCAAAATCCCTCTGATGCCCTCGTAGCCCACATATGCATTTATACCCTCGACATATTCCATATGTTGTTTTGCAAAATTACATATGTAGTTCTACTAATACAAGGCCAAATAGACCGACTCAATAGGGTGAGAGGAAATTAATTCAGCCAGTCTTTTAGTTTTCTCTAGTTCTGCTACAGAAGCAACTCAGCATCTGCCATTTTTCAAAAAAAACTGGAGATTCCTTAAAGTAAGAACTGCCTTCCATTCCAGACGAAATAATTCTAAGCCACTTTGGGAATATAATAAATTGTGGAATAAAATTAGC